AGAGAAAGCTTCACACATGCTCATTTCAAAGCCACCATCAAAGACTTGAATACACAAGGTGGACTAATTTCTGCATTCTTCCTCAATCAGTCTTCAGATTCAAATCTTGCAAACCGTTGGTGGATTTTAGAAAGTGATGTTAATTCCCCCATAAGAAACACAGGTTGGTTCCCTTAGAACAGACTCTGAGATGAATATTTACATGAAAAAAAAATCTTCTTGTAGAGTACTCTTGGAATCCAAATTCCAGGGAGGAAGGAAGGGAGGGATGATGGGAGGCAGGCAGACAGACTGATGGACAGATAGACAGACTGGATAAATACAAAAATCAAGGCAATACTCTTCTTTCATGAAAGTCTCTGCCAACCTGATAGAGAGATCTTAGACTCAAATTGAGGGGAGAGGAGTTCAACTTCCTTCAATCACTGAATGCTCCTCCTTCCCCAGAAGAACTAACAAAGAATGTGTGGCTCTTTTCAGCCAAGGTCATTCCCCTAAGGTGACTGACAGCTGCAAGCAATCTTCTGATAGTCCTCCGGACAACTGGGAAATATGGGAAATACGTACTTGATTTCTGATGGGTAATCTAGGCAATGAATCTCAGTATTGTTGGTGACTCAGATCTTAGCTTCTTATATGGATGTCTCTGTTACTAAAGTGAATAACATACCTTATAGAACTTGGTTTGTAAATACTATGAAATAAATAGCCTACCTAATTTTGTGATCTATGGAAGTGAATTCTGAAGATGAAGTTGATATATATGTATTTTGCAAAGATATCAAATGTAGTTCATTGACCTTAATTTCAGAATTGTACATTGTTTCACAGGTAGCTGTGCCTCTGTAATTCTGAACAATGGAATGTTACTGGAGATATGTGTGCATCTTGGGTGCTGCTCTTAAAAAGCAAAAGCATACAGTCCCTCTTTTCCCATTTTTCTTTCTTATAAATGAGATGGTAGAAAACCACTAAGATTTCCAAGATGGAAGATGTATGTTGAGAATGGCAGAACAAATAGATGGAAGGCATTAGTCACAGCTATAGCTGGTGTGATCACCTGCCCAGTCTTGTGCCTGAGAGAGAAATAAAATTTATCTCTCTTGAATTACTATTATTTTGGAGTTTCTGTGGTCCGTTTAAAACATAACAACACAGAGATAATGGCCACTCAACTTGAAAGGACAAGCTTTTGGTTGTTTACCTACACCAGAAAATGGGCTCATTTGGTTTTGGAAAAAACAAGATCTTTCTTAGGTCCATTCTCTAGATGATGGAAAAATGATTAATTCTTGAGAACTGACCAGAACAACTGTTCAGATTATCAGTGTTTCAGTATAATCTGTATCAATCAAATCGGTCTGGAAGTATCTATAGAAGAAACATAAATTTTAAGGAGGCCAATGACAAGCTATAATATAATTAAAGAAATAGAGCCTTCAGGAGTTTTAGAGCAAGATCAAACAAACTTTTGGAGAAGCCATTCTATTTTTTAAGAAATATTAGCTTTCTGACATGTAGGGAGCCGTGGGACTGCCCCGCTGCTGTCTCCCCGCCTCTCCCTCCTATGGGCACATAATGAGCCTGCCTACATTAACCATAATCCTCTCCTACTCACGTCACATACAAGGATGTGACGATGACCCATCAGAGATCACCCCATAGCCTCTTCCTGTCCCACCGGCCCGCCCCTGCCCTATAAAAGCAGCTATCACTTTATTAATAAATGAGGCTTGATCAGATTCTCTCCACTTGTCTCCATCTCTCTGTCTCTGGCCCTGTCTGTGTTAATCCCCGTTCCTTCTCCAGGAAACTGCCCCGTGGATCTGGATTGACCTGTGGGCCAGGTCACTGACAATACTTAATAACAGATCACCATGAGCTCTTCCTGGATCAGGGTATTTACTTATCTAACATAGCTATGAAACTCCATTTGCAATAGCAACCCGTGAATTCAACAAAAAACACGTTAGGTCTCATTTGGGCTCATTCAAGTCTCAAAAGCATAAGTCAGATCCATGAGATGGTTTCTTACTGCCCACAATGTGCTATCACCTATCTATAAATTTGTCTTGCTTTTGCTTTTGCTTGGAGGAGGTAGTATGATTTAAACAGGGTTTGTCCTCACCAAAGCTAATGTTGAGGTTTAAGTCCTCAACATAGTTGAAGGTAGAAGTTGAAGTTGGAAGGTGGAGTCCAGTGGTAGATTTCTAGATCTTGGAGGTGGGACCTGGACAAACACATTAATGCTGTCACACAGAAATGACAAGTGAACACTCACAGGAGTTCTCAACGCTCCTAGGACTGAGTTAATTTCTGCAAGAATAGATCATTTAAGGCACCAAGCCTCTTTGTGATATGGCCTCCATGTGATACCATCAATCACTTTTTAGCACATGATCCCCTACCAGACATAGCTACCTGATTTGGAATGTTTCAGTTTCCAGAACTATGTGCTAAATAAATCTTTTCCTTATTAATTATCCAATCTCAGGTATTTTGTTGCAGCAACAAAAAAATGGACTAAGAGTATTTGCTTATGTCCCTTTGACACAGGATGACAAGTCAGGGTAGATATTGTATGGCCCTATTATCAGTAAAAAGTGAGCCATGCAGTATTACAACCAAAGGGGAACATAAAAACTACCATAAAGGAAAATTATCTTTGGTCGTTGTGCTTGATAGAATGCAGGTTGACCCAAATTCAGGATTTACACTGGTGCTGAAAAGTAGCAAATTTGTATAAATAGCTAAGCATTAAAAAGAAGGAAATTGAATGAGGATGCCAACAAGCTGGGTAAAGCATATGAGTGAAGCAGAATTGATCTGGGCCTGAACATAAGTAAGCAGTTGCTCATCAAAGATTCCCTCCCAGGACCTTGATGGAGAATCAAGTAATGAACATGAGTTAACATTGGTCATTACATTTGTAGTTATCAATAAGGCTTCTTCCTTTTCTCACTCTCCTTTTCTTACAGTATGAGGTTAATGAACACAGTAGCAATTGTTACAGGAGTAGAGGTCATGCATGGGTCCAGTAGCCTAAATTTCCTCCCCAGAAGCCAGTTGAACACCAATGTGTCACCAAGGGAATAGGTTGTCCTTGTTGCTATTGTGGAGTGCCAGTTAGTCTTCTGGTGACTAATCTTCTGGTGACAAAAGGACAGTATTTGTTTTCTCTGAGGTCACCAATTACTGATTTGTTTTCTGTTGTTTTTGTTTATTTTGTTTTCTCTAACATTGTCTCAGCAAGCACTGCGATGGAACTACTGAATTTTTTTGCTCACTGCTGTCAAATACTGCACAACACTGCTACCAACCAAGGAAATTATTTTCAAGAAAAGGAAGGCAGCAGAGATACAGCATTATGGCCCAATTTTTCAGATGGTAGATCTTAAATTTGGCCTTTGGAGCACACAACTGTGATAGTAATTGATGTGACCTCACAAGATGGTACACTGATGGCAGCATGTCACATATTAGTTGGAATAGAAATCAATATTGACATTATCTGTCATGTACTGAAATTCTCAGCTAACTTGAGGTTTTTCATAATTCTAAATTAAGCCTTGCAAAACAGAAGAGGCCCTTTATTTTATTATCTGAGAGGATCAATTCTGACTGTCAAGGGAACACAGCATAGCTACCCTAGTAAGGTGTGAATCATAGGTACATTGTTGACTCCACGTTCTACCATTTACAGACATAAAGGCTATCTCCCTTCTTTGGATTGTCTAGGATTCAAACTATTCATAATTTTGCCAACTGATTAGTTTCTGGTAAGGAAGAAAAATCTAGAAGCAGTGACAAGAATTGAAGAAAGTCAAAGGTCTTGGGACTGACTGTTGAAGTGACATCAGTAATTTATGGAGTTATATCCATCTTTGGTGGCAATTACCAATATCCTAACAAATTTTCTATGCATCATTGAATGAATAATTCTTGATGATGCAGCTTACCTTTTTGTCCAAATGATATAGAAAAGTGAAGGGAAGTACATAAATGGGTTGCAGTAAGTCAAGTTTGCTTGTTGGGGAAAGGACAAGTGTTAATTGCACGTTTTTGGATATGTAACTATCCTACCTTAAGTGCACTTAGATACATATGCACAGGAAGGTTATATGAGGCACTAAAGCAACAGATACAGGGAAGATGATACCCTAATGTTAATCTACAGCAACTTCTTTTAGCTAAAGCTAATCCAGTACCCAAATATGGAGAAGTGGTGGCTGATACTTGATTGTCATCTTGCTGATGTTGTGGTATTTATAAAACACCCAGAGAGAGATGATGAATTCAAAGCAGTACCTATGTGTCTGGAATTCAGGCAAGAGTTTAGGGTTGTGACAGATACTAAAAATTCTGTGTGTAAATACATACATATGCATTCAAGTGGATGAAATCTGTCGAAAGAGCCTGAGTAAACTAAGAGGAACATAATGCAGAGGGAAAATGAAAATGCAAAGCTGAGACGAATGTAAATGCAGGAGTTAAGTTGTGCACAAAAGCAGAAGTGCTAACTTAAGATGATGCCATAGGAACTGTGAGGAAAATGTTTTAAGAAAGGAGGAGAAAAGATGGCAAATGCTAAGGAAAAATGAAATGAGGGGTTGCAGTGTCTTAGAGGGTGCTGAAGTGGAAGGAAAGGAGGATGCAGGGGGGAAAGAACGCTACATTTTCAACAAGACATAACAGGAAAAGCAGCAGGTTGATGGCCTAAGGAGACAGGGAGGGTCATGGCGGGCCTCCGTATCTCTTAACTTACAGATTTTCTTTTCTTTCTCAGTACTTGGGGTTGAAGAAAAGACTGTTACATTCACCTACATCCGTTTCCTTATGCTTTAAGTTGACACAGGCTCTCAAAAAGTTGCAGACTGGATGGGAATTTGTGACCCTCCTGCATCCACCACGCAGGGCCCTGAAATTACAGCTGTGCACCACCCTGCCCCGCTGACTTGCAGAATTCCTATGACTATAAAACAAATACATATGCTCAATAATTGCTTGCAAAATTGTATTTATTTTTCAGGGCCAGCCAATAAGAGAAACAAATGTGTCATCACTACATTCATTCATGCTGAGTAAGATACAAGCATTATTCATACCCTTTCATGACTCTTTCTTCACTCATTAAAATAAATACAACTACAGAGATAGGGGGAGAATTAAGGGGTTGCTGTGGTTCAGGAATTCTGGCACAGGTCAGCGCAGGAGCAGGTGGTGGTGTGCCTGTATTGGTAAGACAGTATGCTGCCATCCGGACAATCCAGGTCAATGTCTCTGTACTCGTAGTTTTCTTCTCGGCAGCAAAGACATGAATTTTTCAGCTGAAAGACTTCATAATTGTACCTGGAAGAAAAAGGATTCCGAAATGAACATGTTTTAAATGGCTTTGACATAAATTGCCATCAACATTTACATTCTAATGAACTGTCTAGGTTTCTAGGCAATACAGTCTTTCACAGACCTTATACCTCATCCCTATAAATTTCTGATGCAGGTCAATGATGATTGATACGTAAGACCCCCAGAATCAGAAACCAAAAAAGAAGATTTGTAATTTGATAGGTAGAATATTATGTTGCAAAAAGGAAAGATAGGTTTCTAAACATCTTATACACTGCCAAAATATTTTCTCTATCAATCCGTAAAATGGTACACAAAGGGAAAATAATCATACCTCTAAAATTCAAGTTGAAAAATAAGTAGAAAAAAAATAACTTGCTGAAATATGCACTATAGCTACCACAAAAAGATGAATACCTTTGCTACCAGTTTGACAGAGGTGTTTTAAAACTACCTCAGAATGACTCATCAGTCACTCTAATGTTTGTTTTAATGCTCAGGTCTTAATTGAGATATTTGTTTCATGAGGTCTTAATCATCAAACAGTATTGCACTCATGTAAAAATTTCTTCCTGTAAGGTTTAAAATTTAATTTCTTCCACAAGCTTACAAAGTATATGCATAATACACAATCACAGAAAAACTCACTGGAGAGTCTTTTTACATTCCCCTACACATCGTGCCATCTCAACTTTTTTCTTGCAATTGTTGTAGTTCACAGTCACATTCACGGGGGAAGTTCTGCAATTCGTGTTACCTACAACAAAGTGGATAACAGGCATAATTAAGACTTCACTGTGTTCACAAGTGCTAAGCCTCCTTTGTCTCAGCCAGAGGAAATCATAGTCTCAAGTATTGATGTGAATAAGCGTATTAACTATTCTAGCACCCATGACTAGCAGCTGGTTAAAAGATAAGTTTTATCTGATTATTGCTGTTATCCTTATAGTAGAAAGAGAAGAGGAACTAAGTAGAAGGAATGGGGCTAGGATAAGGAGGAACATGGATTAGTTTTGGCAAGCATTTTCTCACTGTTGATCATCTGCCTGCAAGCTTACAATGCAACTTGATATTAGGAGGACCAGGCGATCCTTTTCTAAGATTTGTTTTCCCTTGTAAACATAATTGGTTTACGCTGGACATAATGCAACAACCAAGAAATATATGTAATATAATATGTAAGTTTCAACTGGTAGTTTAACATGTAGATTAGATTATCTGTTAAAAATATAGGAAACTTTCTGTTCATGATCCAGCATTTTTTTAAAAAAGAAATGCTAAATTTTTATCAGCAGCTTACATTTTATCTATAGGTGAGGTGCAAGTTAACTTACACTTATAGCAACATTTGTTTGAGTCATAAGTTCTTTCTTTCTGTAAAGAGAAAAAAATACGAAAATTTCTTTAACCATTTTCTATAAACATAGGATCAGAAATGGGGAAATAGAAAGGATAAACACGCTGATGTCAGACCCAGAGCAGACACAGAAAGGAGGAAGATGAGTTTGGTAATAAAAATAAGACTTAGAATTATGCACTAATTTCCAACACTAGTCAGGCAAAGAAAATAATGTTTAATCCAAATTATTTTAAAAACACATGCAAAAAGGAAAGCAGATTATTTTCACTAAAGTAAAAAATAGTTTAACAACAATGATACTAGAGTTTTCTCATAATCAAGATCTGTACCTGTATGTGATTATGAATATTTATATTTTTATAAAAATGATAAAAAGTTGAGTTTTGTTTATAAAAACAGCAAAACATCTTGCATACAACTATTCTTACAGTAGCACAAAAGCTATATAGAGCCTGCAAAATATGAGTCTTTCTTGAGATGAAAAGCATACATACTTAGTAAAAGGTAAATAGACCTGGAATCATTTGGCTCCTGATGTGATAAATGAAAGATCTGTGTTATCAATGAAATTTAATCTGTTGGTCAGGTGCAAACATTTCCAAGTGAGTAAGGCAATGGTTTGGGTTTGTGTTTAACAAGGAGGGCTCTTGCTGGTAGATGTTTGGGAAGATAACTTACTTCTGCACACCAGGTTTGCTTCGGGCAGCTTTGGACTACTGCGACCAAGCCAGTGTCACTGCAGGAGTAGGAGATGCACGGGTTGCTGGGATCTTCAAATGAAGCACCGATCTGAATGGTAAGAGGGGAGAAACTATTTGTCTTGATTTCTCTTTGAGACTGACAATTAAACCAAAAAATTCTATTAGTGACTGTCCAGTGACACTCTCAGCCATGAGAATAAAGGTGGTTTGAAAGTCTTCTATTTCCATGAACAAACTGAAATTCTTTATGGAGGGTACAGCACAGAATGTCAAGAATCTTTACCTTCAAAATAAAATTCACTGAAAGTTACTGTATTGTATTTTCAAGAATTTTTCAAGAAATATCACTTTATGATGAACAAGACTTTTAGATTATGAGTTCAACGGAAAAAAGAAGGTATTTAAATTGGAAAAGTTCAAAATGGGTTTATTAGATTAGAACAAACGATCAGTATCCCAAGGTTTCCTCTGTCTTGCTTGTGTTCCTATGTGTTTAAAACTCTTTAAGTTGCTTTACAAGTAGCTGATGCTCAACATTCAAATCAGTTTGAGAAACTGTTCATCTCAGCATCTCAGGCCACAAAATGATCTTTCTCAGTAAATAGTAAATTAAAATTATATCTTTTCAACTGTTTTATGTATATATATAATTGTAATTTCATATATTTTGTGTCTGAAAATTATCATATTTTCTTGTCTGATCAACTTGATAAACTAAAAATTAAGATGCCCAGGTAGAAATTTGAATGTGGTACACAGGCTATATAAAATTATCATAGGCTGTTTTATAAATTTCCTAATCTACTGCATATATTTTCAGATATTTTAATATTTATTATCAACAGATAAAATATATTAATATCAATTAGAGACATCTGATTTTTATGGTTTCCTGACACTTTTTCCAAAAAGTTGAATTACTATCCAAAATGTCAAATTAGTTGTCAAAATCCAGCCCTCGCTATCTTGTGTCACTAAGTCCACATGGTGGAGTTCTAGTCCTTTGGGTTTTCTTATTTGATCTCTGACAGTTTGGCCATCTGATCTTTCTGGCTATAATTACAATTCAATTCTGTTCATTGATTTGAATGTTACAACGTATGTCTTGTCCGTCTGGCAAGATCCATGGGGAATTTTGTTCAGAAACTCAACTACTTGGTAGTTAATGATCAAGTATATTTTCCCCTTTGAAAAGAAGCATGGTGAGTGCTATATTTGACACACCTTTGAACATGAAAAATGAAGAGACTATTTCATCATTACTGATGTTTTGGGGTTTTCCATATTGTAAGCCAAAAGACCCATGGTATAGCTTAACATCAGATGTGGTATAGCTTAACATACATATATATGATTATATTATGGTATAGCTTAACATTGTAACATGGTACAGCTTAACATATATTTATGATTATATTAATAAAAACACTTTAGACAAGAAAGGGCCTTACCTCATAGTCAGTATTATTATAGAAACATGTTCTTGGTTCTGAAAAATAAATAAAAATTTTTATTCTAAAATAAATTATTTTATGAAACTGAAATTGTAGATGAGATCACACTTATCACCCAATTATGTTTCTCCTCATAATAATATAATGCCCATTTAATCTACTAATGTTGGGTTTCCTTCATTCCAAATGTTCTTAAGTTTTTAAGAGGAAGAATAATAAATCTATTTTATCACATGACTAATGTTGTGCATAGCACATAATAACCTAACAAGTGTCTTTTGAATACATAAATAAGCAAACAATGAACAGATTGAATTCAAATATTGTATTACGAATACACACCACAGTATCCAACTTCACAGCAGGTGTCATTAGATGTAAACACAACAAGCTTCTCGCCAGTTTTGCATGTGGGTAGAGAAGGACAGTCCTTAGGTTGACAGTCCACAGTCTTTGCATTAGTACAGGTACACTGATAGCAATTGGATGTCCAACTGTCTCCAGGCTACAGATACAAACCAAAGTTAGGCTTCCATTCAAATGCAGGAATGAAAGCAAATTTCGATTACAGTGGAGCAAAACTGGGTACTTACAGATTTCTCTTCACCCAGTGGACCATGACAAACTGTTAACATGAAATGATGAATGCTAATTAAATTTGGCAAAATACAACCATCTGTTATTTACAGATAATCAGCAGGTGTCCAATACTGTAATTAGCACTAGGATTTTGGAGTCACAGAATTATGGAAGATTAAATGGTGCCTTAAGGTGAATAAATCACATCTACCTACTTTAAGCAGGCTCCCTTGAGAAGTGTGTTTGTCGTATTCTTATAAATCCCAGCAAAGGGTAATTCCTGACTTCAGCTGGCAGGGCCAAATCAATCTTATGCCTGCTATTTGACCTATTGTTTCATAGTCTGATTTATGCCTCTATAATTCTATAAAGTCTTGTGACTTTGTAATTACCAGACACAAAGTCCCTTTTCAGTTGTTTAAGTTCCTTGTCATAGTTGACATTATTAATTCTCACCTTCATGAAAACGTTTCCCTTCTTTAATGACCAGGGGAGACTCCTGTCTTTTTATCTCTGTTCTTTCTCTGTGGCTTTTGTCTGCATAATGTCCACTGTAAAATTAGGTGCTGGCTCTCAAACTCAAATCTAACTCAGTTCACTCATGAGCTGTGAACTGACCCAGTTCTCTCCTCATCTAACAGGCAGCATCCTTCCCAACAGATCTACAGCAACCACAGGCCTAAAGTACACAAAGGAGACTGTGTCTCTTACCCCGAAAGCCTGCTTTATCTTCTACACTAGCTTCTAATTAAGAAACATATTTATTCTTTCAATAATTCCAGTTTAAAACCTAGGAGCCATTTTGATTCTTTCCCATTCACCATTTGTCATATATTCTATCACCAAATCCTATACCTCTCTTCTCATTTTAATCCTTTCTTTATCCTACTCCAAAGCCTTATTAACATTTATAATACTAAGCTGTCTTGGATCTCTTTCTGATCTAATCAATTCTTTGTGCCATAGGTAAAGTAATTTTCCTAATGTTTAAGTCTTAGTGCCGCTTTAATTAGAATCTTTGGATAGCTTCTTACAGTCTTCCAAAATAAACATTTTATACAAGTTTCCGAGGTCTCTCATATTGTGACTCACTCACTTTTTAGCTTTATCTCACTTCTATGAATCTACACTCAGTCCTACATATTATTCTCTGATTCCAATCCTACAAAGTAATCTCTCAAAAATATATGACATACATGACATACAGCATGCATTCCTTATGTAATACAAATCTCAATTTTTGTGTGTGAAATTTGTTTACTACTTTACATGAAAATCAATGTTTTCATTGAAAAATCTTTCTTCTGTTACTGAATACTAAGATTAGAGAATTTTTTAGTACTTTTTCCTATTTGCTATAAAATATTATCATGTTTTCTTCAGAATAGTGAGAGTTAGTTTTTTAAAATTACTAAACTCTGGCTAAAGTGAATTTTTCTTACTGCAGTTTAACCCTTTAAAAAAGCACAGTGATCTAATTTTCAAATGTTCACTTTCCAGAGACAGGATTTTGGTCAAGATACATGACATAAAGTAACTAAATTAAGTATCAAGGTATATTTGTTTAGGTTGGTTGTTTTCCTTGTGAGTATGAAAATATTACTCATTTATTTGGTGAATAAAAACTGTATTTATCTACTTCAATGTACAACATTTTCATGGCTAGTGATTTACTGACATGGCACATAAAATTTGTATTTATTTATTTACTTTTTGTACTGGTGATCGAACTCACGACCCCACATTTACCAGGCAGGTGCTTATGCTGCTGAGCTATATCCCCAGCAGGGGCAGTGAAACTTGATTCACAAGAAGTATTATGCAGAATGACTGTATTAATGGAGGTATTCTTACCTGGAGCTGGCGGACGTGTCTCTGGACATCCTGCATAAAAGTAAACTCATAAGTCTCTGAGGTTACTGAAATCGTGTTGCGGAAAGTATAATTACCTAATTCATTGTTCTATTGCTGAAAAACATGGCTACAGAACCAGTCTTACAGGCATACTCCCATCTATCTCCTCTTTCTGTTCCTCATGGCAATTGAGATCCCACAGATACTTTGGACCTCAAATTCAATGTGAGACAAATACAAAGTTGAAAGAAGGAAACATCAAATTAAACTTCTTTTCAAAATTTTCTGATGCATACAACAACAAAATAAAGAAAAAGATAATTCAGGATTAGGAAATACAATTATTATTACCTATCTTTAATCCTTCCGGAGCCTTTACCTCTATCTTCCTGAAAACTTCTACTTTATTCTACCTCCATCCCTACCAAATGCTTTAAACTGGTCATATGTATGCTTTTGAGCATCAGCATATCACAGATTTTAGTCAGCTCAACACTTTACTCATAAATTTCAAATTCTATTTCAAAACTACTAAAAATAAAATTACTTATTTGCATTCACCCTCCCCCAAAGGCTGGCATAGGAGCATCAGAATACTTGCAAAGAACTTAAAATTTCTCCACATTTTGACTCCAACAACTAATTTTTACCCAAAAAAAAATATAGATGAGTCTGAGGATCCCATATCTCTATATGTTTGCTGTGTTAGCCTAAAGTAGGTTGTACTAAGCATGAAAATTAGTAGCTATGAGCAAAAGAAATCATTGATTAAATATAAATGTACCAAGAAGTCTCTCCCCTCACCAGAATTATAAGTTCATTAAACATGTTTGTAAGAGAACTTATGAAGAACAATCTCTTAATTTCCACACTACTATTTCTCAAAACTATCTGATATCATTCTTGATAATGAGATTTTAATTATGATAAGGACATAGAATCTCATTTAATTTTGGAACTCAGATACTTCATGAACTCCATATATTCACTGCCCACATTTGGTTGACTCTTGAACCCATTCATCGTTCTGCTCTCCACTTCTCTCTCCTGCTTCTGTCCTCCCCTTTCTCTCCCCTAAACTGAACTCCTCATGCAATGCCAAAGCCACACTGATCATTAAAGATAGTGTGCTGCCAGCATTCACCCATTTGTGCCCCAGTTTCTGAAATTTCTTTGCATTCAGGGGAAGCAGTGGATGCTAACAGAGGGACAAGGGACAACTCTTGAGAAGCCACCCTGTCCCCCGAGACACTGCAAGAGAAGTTCCTTTATTTCTGTTTGACTTACTTGTGGTAGTACTTCCAGCAGCAGGGCTTGTTTCAGATGTTTCCTTGGAAGTACCTAGAGGAGCAAGGGAAGAATAATGCACCTTTTCAAGGGCCACGTCCCTAAGACATCTCTTCATGGGATTAATACTAGTCAGGACCCTTTCATTAAGACGTGAAGCGTCTCTAGCAACTCCCTGTTAACAGAGATGGGTATTTATATGTGACTTCCACTCCTAGATTCTCCTTAAGTGAGAAGATGTTTCCTTACAATTTCTTCACTTCCTAAAACTTGGTTTTCAGGTACTGTTATAAATTCTCTCCTTCCAAACTAATACCACTATGTGAGAAAACACCTGAGTTGATCAAGATGCCTTAATGTTAATTTTTAGGCAGAATTTTCCTAGCTATGAGTCTCTGGCTTCCCTTTTCTTATATAATTTACTTTAGGAAACTTGTAATTACACAATGTTTCCTCTACCATGTTAAGAATTAAATCTCCCAGTTCCTTGCCAGTCCTATAACTTAGGAACATTTTTCTCAGAGGTCTGGGAGCTACCTCTTTGAAATGCAATTATGAAGAAAAAGAGTCCCTCAGTCTCTTGATCCCTAAGGAAGACTAGGAACATAACTTTGAGCAGGCCAATCAGCCAACAGACAGCCTAATCTAATCCATTCTGCTCCCCAGTGGCCCCCAGTATTTTCCACGAGTTCACTCCAGCATCTAGACTGTTTCAGCAGGGCTGAGTTCAGTCTCACCCCTTTCTAGTAATGGCTTTGATCCTTATTGCAATAAAATCCTTTACTGAATAAAGTCTTCTTAAGGGGAAGCCATTATAAGAGATAACATAATTTTAAAATTAATCACCTATTTGTTGGGGACCAGGCTTTGTGACAGATTATGGGGGTCTGACTATGTGATTTAAGGACCCCTCTCCCAGTCCAGTGGTTGGTGTGACCTTGCTTCCTTGCTTCAAGGCCTGGGAGGTATATAGAAGGCCAGGCAGCCCCTGGCTAAGGGCAGAATGCTAATAACAGGACACTCCAGAGGCAAGATAGTATCTGCTGAGGACAGTTCTCAAAACACAGGCATTTGGGTGTAGAGAAAAATCTAGTTCCTCATTAATTTAATCCTTAATCGACCACTTCCTATAGTCACCCTTCTATTAAAGGAGTGCTACCCCTTCCTCTGCATTTCTTACTAACCAATAAAAGCAACCCTCCCATAAGTGAATCCCTTTCTGTCTCCCTTGTATCCAAAAATTGTGTCTTTGCCTTCATCTCCTTAGTTCCCCCTACAGATATCCGAGGGTCTGATCAGCCTTCGGTACCCATAAAGTCAGAGAAGCAGCCCTTCTGATGGCAAAGTGATATAAACATACACCAAACCAGTTTAATTGCCTAAGAATTGAGAAAAAAAATTTTAACTCAGATGAGTCTTAACTGGTCCTTACATTCCTTACTTTGAATAAGCTTTTTAATAAAAAATATGAAACTTATGTTAGATACCCTGATTATTACCCTTCTTGTTTAAGTATTAGTCTTTCTGTAGAAAAGAGTTTTGCCAGTGGCTACTGTAAGTCTTCAACCTGGCCTCACTGTCCCAGCCCCAAGCCTGCTGACCAGCAGCAGCATTACTCTGCGGGAAATTCAACACTCTAGACTGCCATCAGCAAACACAGGAAAGTACATAAGACAGGACAAGGAATTTTGCAGGATCTGGAGACATCTGGAGACACCCAAAACATTTACAATAGACACTTCAAGGATTTTGCCTGCTGGACTACAAGGCTTCCAGGAAACGTTAACCACAGACATTTGTTACTTCTTTAAGATATCAAAGAGAGAAAGAAAAAACATTTATCTCCCAATAAACTGACAGATTTCCAGGGCCTTCACCGCATGGTGGAGTCTCCTTGGGGCAGAAGAAAAGAGGATAAGGGTTCAAGAATCTGACTGTTAGTCACTAGGTCAAATCCAGGATCTCCACTAATTTTTGTATCAAACAAAAATGCTCCTCACAGGAGATACAAATACCAGATACAATTTATACAACTTTGTGTACTAGGAAGCAGTAGGAGCTGGCAGTGCTTACCTGCAGTGCTTCGGACTCCAGTCGTTCCACTTTCTCCAGGGGAAGTTGGGGCTGCTAAGGGAGAAAATACACTCAGGGAGTTTGAAATGCAACTGTAGTGAACAAGTAAATGAACTCCTTATTAAGTGGCCAATTAAACTAGAGCCATAGTATTTGAAAAAAGAAACAAACAAACAAACTATGGTGAATCAAAAGGAAACACATATCATTGTGAGAAGTCTCAAAGAGGATTCCTTGCAAACTATGAACTCACCAGTGACCGTACTCCCAGGGGCTACTGATGTGCTGGAATGTATCCGAGAGGTGCCTGGAACACAAAAGAACTGAACTCATCATGGTGGCTCACTAAATTAAAAGAGTCACCTACACATGTGTGTATCGGTGTGTGCATATATTTATTTATTTGCTAGAACCAAAAGCTCTTCTCAGTGCATACGGTAAAGCAGCTCTACCTTCCTGTTTTCAACAAATCATAATCAGAAATAGACAGTGCCCTCAGTTAGAGGTACTTCTGCCTGAATTTGATTTTAAAAAAAGCTAAATCGTTTTTCCCAAACCTCACCAGCTTTTCTGAGTAAGCACCGCTGTGAGATACAAAATGAGGGGTAAAAGTTTTAAATATCCTGATGACTTTGAATGTCCAAGCAAATTTTCATATACATTTACACACACTCACATGCACGAATACATCCTGGTTCCATAGAGCTCTGTTCTATTTCATACATGTACACATATACAAACACTCATGCACACTGAAAACATTGTGGATTACAGCTAAAATGCTAGTGATATTTGGAAAATCTGTAGAAAAATCTCATCCCATTCCCAGACTTGAAGCAGTCCTTAAATCTTCAGTTTTCCCCGCTGGTTCTAGGAATTGAACTCAGAGTCCCATGAATATTAGATAAGTGCTCAACACTTAGTTACATCCCCAGCACTTTTTATATTTTATTTTGAGACAGGGTCTTAATAAATTATCTAGGATGGCTTCAAATTTATGATCCTTCTGCTTCAGTTTCCCAAGTAGCCACTATACGGCTCAGAGTTATTTCTAATAACAAATCTACTTTGATTCACTTGGAACACCTTAAACAAAATGTCAAGTTCCTCAACAAAAGTTCATTAAATAATCCTAAGTGCAATGATCCCAAATTATAGAGTAATGTGTTCTCTCCTGTTTTCAGTCCAGTCCCAGTAGTACCAGGCCTTTCTGTCAAAGTTGTAGCCTCTGAGAAAAGACACAGAAGAATGATGAAATCTGGGAAGTTGGAACATTAGGAGATATGGAGTGGTACTTTGTTGCTGCCTCATGGAGATGATTGAATCATGGAGGCATGACACTCAATAATGGATTAGTCCACTAATGAGTTTATAGCTAAATAGCTAAATGTGATGTTGGGAGATGAAGCTTCCTTGAAGGAGGTGGGTCCCTAGGGGTTAGGCCTGGGTCTATCTCTTTCTTGTTCCTCCCTTGATCCCAATCTTGATGTCCGTCACTCTGTCTCTCCATATCTCTCTCTCTGTCTCTCTCAGCTTTGTGGCTACTACACCATGAGCCATTTCTCTTTTGCCAGGCCCCCCTGTCATGCCATTCTACCTTGGAGCCAGCAGACCATGGACTGAAAGCTCTACAAATGCCTTAGACTTCTTAGGCATTGTGCCTCAAAAACAAGAAAGTAACTAAGACAAGGTCCAAAGAGATGTCATGACATTTGAGGCTAAACATAAGACATTTCTTTCTTATTAGTCTACCTATGTTAGATATAATGATTGTTCTTGAAAATTCTCCAGTGGTACATAAAACACAAAAAGTACATGGAACCATAGAGTATTACTTCCCCAATTAATCTTGGAAGCATCAGTGTGGCCCTTGAGCACTGGGCTGGGAAACTCTTGCCTAAAGGCTACCTCTGACGAGAGTGGGAAATAAGTTCCTAATATTGCATGTCCGAGGCCAGCCCAGGATAGATGTAGAGCTGTTAGCTTTCTTCTATGCAGTAGGATAAAATAAGGCTTTAAGTCACTGGCTCACTTCAAGGGGGGAAGTCACTGGCTCACTCAAATCTTGGGGGAAGTCATCAGAAGTACAGTTAGTTCCTTCACAGAGCTCACCTGTGACTACTCTCTTTCTCATTCATGGTCCCACCCTCTCCCACAGAAGTTGTGGCCTCTGAGAAGGGGGAAAACAAACAGAGCTAATTGGAACAGATACAGTAGTTTTCCCACAGGGTAACACCGGAGGAGAAGTATCTTTATGGATGGCTCCTGGAAGGTTCCCCCAGGTCTTATTGACTCAACTGTGTTGGCAACAACCATGGTAATAGTCGTCCTGAGGCTAACCTAGTGGTGGCTGAAAAAGCAAGCGTCTGAGTCATCCCAGGAAGAGTCTGACCCATCCCTGAGTCATCTGACAAATCCAGACCTGGGTTTGTCTCCCAAAGATGGGCCACTAGGAGCAGCCTTGGCATGTGAGTCTCAGGAGAGAGCCCTTTCACTGCTTCCTGAGATGAGAATCCTAAGCCTTTCCTATGATCCACTGTTATCACAAAGGCAGTTAAAACAGTTACGTTCCTAAGCTGAGGCTCTTTCCCATGAAATTCCATCTACCCCACAATGGGAAACAAGGTGGTTTTCTCCCAAGTTCACCTTTCAGAATCCCAGTTGTATGGATTCTTGATGCTATGCTGATGTCTGTGGTGAGGAACAGGCCAGAAAAATATTTCAACATGCTTTCAAAAGCATGGGACAGTACTCGGTATCATTATTGCTTTATCAATGAAACCTTGCAGGATGCAGTGGCTTCTGAAACTCACACTGCTTTTCCTTCTTCCTAGAAATACATTCCTTAACTCCCCCAAACCTTAGCAATGTGTACAGCACTGTGGGAGATGCCCTTCACACCTACTCACAGCACAGGTTTACAAAGCTATAGTTGTGACTACTTTCCCAGAATATGCTCAGTGTAAGAAAATACTGAAAGTGTGCACTATTCAGCAGGAAAACATACCTAACTTGTATGGAAATGTTCCAATATGATGATAGTCCTAGAGAACTCCTCTATAATAACTAACACAGGAAAAATAAAGAGATTGTCATTGACACTAGCTATGTGACCATGTAGCTTCGAATCAGGGGAAGAACTCTCCAAAAAGCGTCTGCCTGGCAAAAGATTGGAGCTCAAATGCATGGTCTCATCTCCTGGCCCACCCAGGGATCACTGTTGTTACCTCAACTCCCCCCCTCAGAGCCCATTCCACCTGGAAGAGGACCTTATCTGTCTATCACCTGTTTACCTTCCAGGCCCAGGAAGACAGAACAAAGTTGATAAGATATTCCTGTTTTTAAATTGGAAGCATCAATGTCTGTAAGGTTTTTTTTTTATTTAAATGTTTAAAATAGAGCTCCTTGACCCTAAAACTCTCAAACAATGATTTTAGTCCATCCTGCCTACCTCAGAACTGTGAACTCCAGCTGCCTCCAGGTGAAAAGTGATAGCACCTATTACAGCAACGGAGGAAAGCCGCTTCCAAACAGTACATTTCATTATTCCACTAATACTTCCCAAGAATTTCTCTCTGTGTAACATTGTTTTAGGTCCTTGGGATGTATCAAGTGAGCAAAAATGCAAAGGTCTCCTCCATAAAATAGCTCATATTCTAGCAGCCAGAGTCCAGTAGTGAACAAAAGCAAGTAAACTCGTCAATGTTATTTGACTCCTTTGTGGAGTTTGTAATTTCACAGCATGAATGACTCTGAACAATTAGCATAACCATCCGATCTTCAGGGATTATAGGTATGATTTTGGAGTCTTAATGGCATTTTTCAGGGAAATGCCAACCCTGTAAAGGAATTAGTTGGCAAAAATGGAAGTAGATATTCCACAGTCAGTGACTCCACTTCCTTCTATTGAAGCTGTGGCCTCAAAAGACAGACGCGATTGGAAAAATACAAAGAATTACAGGTTACTGTAGCGATGATCTTTTCTGGAAATAACACCTGAAGAAATGTCTTCTTAAGAGAAGGAAGTGAGGCTCTACCACTAGCTTGTTCTCACCTGTGCTGCATTTGCCAGGAGTAAGAGTCGTGCCAAAGGTTACTGCAGTGGAACCTGAAATACAAATCTGGGGGGCCGCTTTAGCAGCTCACTCTGCTATGAAACCACCTTGATGTAGATGCCAGATGTATGTTTCTTTGCTATACTAAGTATTGTTTTTTGGGCACCTGGCAGAATCGAATTATTTCAATTTCCTCCCTTTGACTGTCTCAACCCCTAAACATGTGGGTAGCTGTGTTCAGCATTTGCAACATTCTCTCCTGGCATTCCCTGACAAAAAATAAAGGTAATTTTTTCTCACTTTTACTTAATTTATTCTCAAGGGCTCAAGCATAATAGGTAAATGTCCTATGACTTCTAAGCTAGAGTCCCAGCCACTATAAAATACTATAACTTCTCATATAGGAATTCTATACAGTACCTGAAAGTTTTCTGCGTTAATAAAAATTGCTGAACATTATGGTGGTGTTCTAACATGGCCAAAGGCCAAAACAACAGCTTCTTTTCTGATGACTGCTTCCTCCTTCTTTTCCCCTCCACCCTGATTACAACTTCCTCTTTCTTTTTCCCACAGAGAAAGAAAACTCCAATTACTCTCTAACACATCATCAACCCCTGCCCCAAACCCTGCCTCTAGCCAGAGTTTATAGATACCTGAGCCTCCCTTTGTCTCCAGCAAGAGAGCCCAGTGAGCTGGAAATCCTTAGTAAGCTGTACACACCTCTCTGCTTCCTCAATAAAGGCCTGTTTTTCCTTTTGCATGTTTATTGCACCCAAATAAACCTAACAGAACCAATAAGTAACTTAGGGAGGATAAAAGCGTTCTGGGTACGAGGATGAGGATAATAAGAAGTAGAGATTAGAACCTACATGTTGGAGTAAAGAATTTAGAATTTATATGAAGCTCAATGGGTAGCTGTTAGAGCGTACTGCTGACAGAAGAGACATAAAAGAGATAATAATCATAGAATCATTGACTATCATTTTGTAAAGCAAGCATCTGAGAATAGAGAAAACTGAAAGGGAAGAAACTGGCCTACAATGGTCCAGACTAAACATTCCTGTGAATGTGAACATAGTAACTCCTTCAACTGGGGAAATACAGCAAAAGACAGAGAGGTCAAGTTTTGAATCAAGCAGATGTATTTGGTTTTAGGCAGGTTGAAAATCTCTGATCCTGTTTCCTAACCAAAGGAGGAAGGCAAATAATTTCTTTGTTTTTCAAATGAGGGACTCCACGCAACCTAAGCAAA